TGCTAGTAATAATAGTCAAAAGGACGCATTAACTATCTACAAACTCAATACTCACAATAATAATAATGATAATAATCTTTATTACAGCCAGTACATGATTCAACTTATACAGACCATAGCTGACACCTATGACATACTACTATATAGAAAGACCCTTGTTATGTAGAGCATTTCTGGAAAATTAGGTCAGTTTTGTCCCCAGGATGTGACCCACACCAGTCCACTAACATCTAGGTGCCTACTTATTGCTAGGTGAACAGTGACAGCAGGTGTAAGGTAAATAACACCCAGGTACCTACTTAATGCTAGGTGAATAGTGACAGTAGGTGTAAGGTAAATAACACCCTGGTACCTACTTACTGCTAGGTGAATAGTGACAGTAGGTGTAAGGTAAATAACACCCAGGTACCTACTTAATGCTAGGTGAATAGTGACAGTAGGTGTAAGGTAAATAACACCCAGGTACCTACTTACTGCTAGGTGAATAGTGACAGTAGGTGTAAGGTAAATAACACCCAGGTACCTACTTACTGCTAGGTGAATAGTGACAGTAGGTGTAAGGTAAATAACACCCAGGTACCTACTTACTGCTAGGTGAATAGTGACAGTAGTTGTAAGGTAATATAACCCAGGTACCTACTTACTGCTAGGTGAATAGTGACAGTAGGTGTAAGGTAAATAACACCCAGGTACCTACTTACTGCTAGGTGAATAGTGACAGTAGGTGTAAGGTAAATAACACCGCGGGTACCTACTTACTGCTAGGTGAATAGTGACAGCAGGTGTAAGGTAAATAACACCCAGGTACCTACTTACTGCTAGGTGAATAGTGACAGTAGGTGTAAGGTAAATAACACCCAGGTACCTACTTACTGCTAGGTGAATAGTGACAGTAGTTGTAAGGTAAATAACACCCAGGTACCTACTTACTGCTAGGTGAATAGTGACAGTAGTTGTAAGGTAAATAACACCCAGGTACCTACTTACTGCTAGGTGAATAGTGACAGTAGGTGTAAGGTAAATAACACCCAGGTACCTACTTACTGCTAGGTGAATAGTGACAGTAGGTGTAAGGTAAATAACACCCGGGTACCTACTTACTGCTAGGTGAATAGTGACAGCAGGTGTAAGGTAAATAACACCCAGGTACCTACTTACTGCTAGGTGAATAGTGACAGTAGGTGTAAGGTAAATAACACCCAGGTACCTACTTACTGCTAGGTGAATAGTGACAGTAGGTGTAAGGTAAATAACACCCAGGTACCTACTTACTGCTAGGTGAATTGTGACAGTAGGTGTAAGGTAAATAACACCCAGGTACCTACTTACTGCTAGGTGAATAGTGACAGTAGGTGTAAGGTAAGGGGCCCAAGACTGTTCAACTGCCTCCCAGCATACATAAGGGGGATTACCAATAGACCCCTGGTTGTCTTCAAGACCCCTGGCTGTCTTCAAGACCCATTGCTATCTTCAAGATCCCTGACTGTCTTCACGACCCCTGACTGTCTTCAAGACCCCTGGCTATCTTCAAGATCCCTGACTGTCCTCACGACCCCTGACTGTCTTCAAGACCCCTGGCTGTCTTTAAGACCCCTGACTGTCTTCAGGATCCCTGGCTGTCTTCACGACCCCTGACTGTCTTCAAGACCCTTGGCTATCTTCAAGATCCCTGACTGTCCTCACGACCCCTGACTGTCTTCAAGACCCTTGACTGTCTTCAAGACCCCTGACTGTCTTCAAGACCCTTGACTGTCTTCAAGACCCCTGGCTGTCTTCAAGAAGGCACTGGACAGGCACCTAAAGTCAGTACCTGACCAGCCAGCAGTAACAGCCTGGATGATGACGCCCTGATCCATGAGGCCTATTCACAGTCCGGGCAGCAGGGGCACTGTCCCTGGTATAACCTAAGCTATGAAACTGATCAATATATAAAACAAAAATCTTAGACCGGGTTGATGTACGGATGTGTAGGTCGCTATAGTGACGCGTGTATAGGGGAAGTCCTGAGATAACCCTCACTTAATGTACTGTTTCCGGATGACAATTGTCTTAACTGATTCATTCCCTCATCTAAAACGGGTGTTTTAATGTACGTTTGGTTTGCTGGGTATCAAAACTTTGGGGCCCAGTACCTGGACCCATTATATACGTCTGTAAGTTTATTCAGGATTAGATTTAGCCACAGAAGTTGCTAGTTTATTGTGCACCTCTCAAATCCATCCTGTGGACGGTACCACAACAGCACATGGATACACAATAGGCCTAGGAACTAGGCCTTCCAAAAGGGCTAACAGGTGTACATATGGATTTATATCTACATATCTACAGTTCACTTATCTGTTACAAGCAAATTTGCTTAGTTTATCTGGTATCTTATTTTCATTAATAAGATATCTTGACATATTACATAGGTAATAATCATTCAGATATACACAAATACAGTTACATAGATTATCATACATAGCAGAATGTGTAGACAACCTGGGATAACCCAAAAAAGTTAGACAGAGAGACTTATTTCCATTGTAATCCCATGACTACTGTCCACAGGATGGGTATACCTGGAGAGAGTCCCGGTGGTCAACGCGCCCGCGGCCCGGCCTGTGACCAGGCTTCATGGTGGATCAGGGCCTGATCGACCAGGCTGTTACTGCTGGTATGGGGTGACTACCGTCCACAGGATGGGTATGGGGTACATAATAAATCATCGCCTTTCTGAGTCGCTGGCAAGTCGAAAAAATCTTTGAAATTCGGTTTAAGGGGGTATTATCATAATCCAGACATGCGCTAAACCCGTAAGGGTCATACAGGGCTTGGAAGTTAGTTTAATTAATATCATTACGCACGCCCATAACCCGTCCTGTGGGCGGTATATTACACAGGCACATAATGGGTCCAGGAACTGCAACTCAACATTACAGAGGTACATAATGGGTCCAGGGACTGTACCACAGTACAGAGGAACATGATGGGTCCAGGAACTATACCTCAACATTACAAAGGCACATAATGGGTCCAGGAACTATACCTCAACATTACAGGCACATAATGGGTCCAGGGACTATACCTCAACATTACAAAGGCACATAATGGGTCCAGGAACTATACCTCAACATTACAGGCACATAATGGGTCCAGGGACTATGCCTCAATATTACAAAGGCACATAATGGGTCCAGGGACTATATCTCAACATTACAAAGGCACATAATGGGTCCAGGGACTATACCTCAACATTACAAAGGCACATTATGGGTCCAGGAACTATACCTCAACATTACAGGCACATAATGGGTCCAGGGACTATGCCTCAACATTACAAAGGCACATAATGGGTCCAGGGACTATACCTCAACATTACAAAGGCACATAATGGGTCCAGGGACTATACCTCAACATTACAAAGGCACATAATGGGTCCAGGGACTATACCTCAACATTACAAAGGTACATAATGGGTCCAGGGACTATACCTCAACATTACAGGCACATAATGGGTCCAGGGACTATACCTCAACATTACAAAGGCGCATAATGGGTCCAGGGACTATAACTCAACATTACAGGCACATAATGGGTCCAGGGACTATGCCTCAACATTACAAAGGCACATAATGGGTCCAGGGACTATACCACAAAATTACAGAGGTGCTTCATGGGTCCAGGGACTATACCTCAACATTACATTCACATAATGGGTCCAGGGACTGTACCTCAACATTACAAAGACACATAATGGGTCCAGGAACTATACCTCAACGTTACAAAGGCACATAATGGGTCCAGGAACTATACCTCAATATTACAAAGACACATAATGGGCCCAGGAACTATACCTCAACATTACAAAGGTACATAATGGGTCCAGGAACTATACCACAACATTACAGAGGTGCCTCATGGGTCCAGGGACTATACCTCAACATTACATTCACATAATGGGTCCAGGGACTATACCTCAACATTACATTCACATAATGGGTCCAGGGACTGTACCTCAACATTACAAAGGCACATAATGGATCCAGGAACTACACCACAACATTACAAAGGCACATAATGGGTTCAGGAACTACACCACAACATTACAAAGGCACATAATGGGTCCAGGAACTATACCTCAATATTACAAAGACACATAATGGGCCCAGGAACTATACCTCAACATTACAAAGGTACATAATGGGTCCAGGAACTATACCACAACATTACAGAGGTGCCTCATGGGTCCAGGGACTATACCTCAACATTACATTCACATAATGGGTCCAGGGACTATACCTCAACATTACATTCACATAATGGGTCCAGGGACTGTACCTCAACATTACAAAGGCACATAATGGGTCCAGGAACTACACCACAACATTACAAAGGCACATAATGGGTTCAGGAACTACACCACAACATTACAAAGGCACATAATGGGTCCAGGAACTACACCACAACATTACAAAGGCACATAATGGGTTCAGGAACTACACCACAACATTACAAAGGCACATAATGGGTCCAGGAACTACACCTCAACATTACAAAGGCACATAATGGGTTCAGGAACTACACCACAACATTACAAAGGCACATAATGGGTCCAGGAACTACACCACAACATTACAAAGGCACATAATGGGTCCAGGAACTACACCTCAACATTACAAAGGCACATAATGGGTTCAGGAACTACACCACAACATTACAAAGGCACATAATGGGTCCAGGGACTATACCACAACATTAGAGGTACCTCATGGGTCCAGGAACTATACCACAACATTACAAAGGTACAGGTCATGCCCCTTGATAATGGACTTATACTCAACAACATTATAATAACACATTGTAACCTATACAAAGAAATAAAATATTTTTAGTGAACAACGAGAGACATTAACGACTTACCGGAAGTCAGCGGCCAGGAAAACATTATATATATGACTGAGTCTTGTTGAGAGTAACAGTGTGATGTCTGCAGCAACACTGACATCTTTAGTACATCACTGAGGCGTCACCATTGTTACCTTTGTACTAGTTCAAGTTACTGACCTTGTTGGGGTAATTAGGGCCACTTGGACCTTCCACCGTATCGAACCCTGGAACCTGCTCCTGTGTACTGATTTCACGTAGTATCAAGTAAGTTTATTTAGGTATAGGTGCACATAAGTACACTTACACATAATTAGTTGGTGACAATTATCAGTAATATAAGTGTATATTACCTATGATAACTCATTTTTTTTTTTGGTTGGCAATTTACAGGGCCTCTGAAAACTTACACCGTATCGATCCCTGGAACCTGCTCCTGTGTACTGTCTGTAGTATCAAGTAAGTTTATTTAGGTATAGTGCACATAAGTACACTTACACATAATTAGGTGGTGACAATTATCAGTAATATAAGTGTATATTACCTATGATAACTCATTTTTTTTTGTTGGCAATTTACAGGGCCTCTGCAAACTTACACCGTATCGAGCCCAGGAACTTGCTCCTCTTCACCGATTTCACGTCTGCAGGAGCACCAACAAGTAAGTTGATTTAGCTACAGGCTCACATAAGTACAATTACACATAATTAGGTAATTACAATTATCATAAAAGGTAATGTATGTGTAAATTACTTATGATAACCCATTTTTTTTTGTTGGCAATTTATAGGGCTACTGAGAGTTTACACCGTACCGAGACCAGGAAGCAGGACCACAGCACCGCAAAAACTAACATGTCGAGCCCTAGAAAGTTTCTGGTGGTTGCCAACTGGTCCTCCTCGGTGACCCGAGATGACATTGACCACCTGACTCGAAGTCTACTATCACGACCCCACAATCCTAACACAGGTGAGTTGGTACAATGGTTATATGTATGATAATTATAAGTATGTATAAGAATTATGTGCATGATAATTATATGTATAATAATTATATGTATGATAATTATATGTATGATAATTATATGTATGATAATTATATGTATGTATAATAATTATATGTATGATAATTATATGTATGATAAATACATGTATGATAATTATATGTATAATAATTATATGTATGATAATTATATGTATGATATTTATATGTATGGTATTTATATGTATGATAATCTATGTAACTGTATTTGTGTATACCTGAATAAACTTACTTATATGCACCAAGAGGTATCTCTCGAGTATACCTGGAGAGGGTTCCAGGGGTCAACGCCCCCGCGGCCCGGTCTGTGACCAGGCCACACGGTGGATCAGGGTCTGATCAACCAGGCTGTTACTGTTGGCCGCATGTAAACTGACTTACGAACCACAGCCTGGCTGATCAAGTACTGACTTTAGGTGCCTGTCCAAATTTGACTTTAATCTCAGTATTTTAAAAATCCAAATTAGTTTATGGAATAATTTTTTATCATTTGTCGACTTAAAATCTCTCCTTAACAATATTCAGTTGCTTAAGCATAATAACTACTCAGCTATAACTACGTTAAATAGCATCAGTTGAATAAATTTATTAAGCACCTCATATCCATGGTGTGGGTTTACCTGGAGAGAGTTCCGGGGGTCAACGCCCCCGCGGCCCGGTCTGTGACCAGGCCTGGGTGGTGGTCAAAATATTACAGAGGCACATAATGGGTACAGAGACTGTACCTTAACATTAGAGAAGCTCTTAATGGGGGCCAGGGATTGTACCTCACTATTACACAGGCACATAATATTATAATCAAGGGGGAAGCACTAAACCCATAGGATTGTACAGCACCTGTGGGAGGGTGTGGAAGGTATTCAGGTTTAATTCAGGGAACTGGAGCACAGATCCAATTCCCTAGATCAAGAGCCCCTCACCAGCATCAAGAACACTTCCTTGAGGGGAAGGCACATAATAGGACCAGGGACTGTACCTCAACATTACAGTAACATAATAGGACCAGGGACTGAACCTCAACACTAGTCACATAATAGGACCAGGGACTGTGCCTCAACATTACAATCACACAGTAGTACCTCAACATTAGTTGTATAATAGGACCAGGGATTGTATCTCAACATTACAGAGGCAAACGACTGGGCTCCAAAGTTTTGATAGCTAGACAAACACGTTACATAGATCCTGAAGGATTAGATGAAAGCAGTTTTTGTCACACTGTATAGAGATTATTATTATTAAAGATTCACCGGTATTCTCCCGGCCCGGGCCTTTTCCAAGTGGTGGCCCGGCCTTGGCTCCCTGTCTAGGGAGTGTCTGAGACCTAAGTCTGCCATGGGAGGAGGCACAAGTACCCCTCATCTTTGGGACCAACTGTCCCTAGGCCTCTCTGGAGTGCCATCCCCACCCCAAGGGGGCTAATGGGAAGGACAGTCTTGTGAGCTACAAGCTCCAGCTTAGGCACCTACCCTACCCTAGAAGGGCTGGGCATGGTGTCGATGATGTAGAGAAAGATTCCTGGAGTACCTCATACCTTATTACATGATTCTCCACGACTCTTAAGAACCTATACAATCACTCTGGTTCAAGACGCAAGCCTGTTTCATTATAGAATTAGATCATAATTGATTATGACTTAATTCTAATATTTTTTAAGGTTCCAGGATTCTTTCTATATTTTAAAAAATATTCTTTTTTGCTTTCAGAGGCAGTGGTTGGATGTCCATCCTGCTACTTGTCTTATGCCAGAGACCAACTTCCACCCCAGATTGCTGTAGCCGCTCAGAACTGTTACAAGGTACAACCTGCTTGTATTGTCTGTTGTATACTGTTATATAGTACAATGTGCTTATATTGTCTCTGTTTTATACTGTTATAAGGTACAACATACTCGTATTGTCTGTTGTACACTGTTGCTTCAACAGGGTTTGGAAGAACATAACTGGTAGTGTAACTATTGCCTCCTGTGCTCTCCTGTAGTTATAATTACGTATACTAAAAAAGTGCCAAACCCATATGGGTGATACAGCTTATATTTATAATTCCACGTTTTCTTGAACAGGTTGAAAGTGGTAACTTTAGTGGAGAGATCTCACCGGCCATGATTCATGACTGTGGAGGAGAGTGGGTCATCCTGGGTCACCCTGAACGCAGGACTATATTTAATGAACCTGATCATCTCATCAGTGAAAAGGTCGCTCACGCCCAAAAAGCAGGAATTAAGGTAACACTTTCATCACTCTTACATTCTCCCAAAATGAAACTTGTGTTTTCAAACTATAGTAATGAGTAGAAGTCAATATCAAATTTACATTTCAATTTAATCTAAGAAAAGTATAAGTTGAACTTTAATAGAATTGTTCAGTTTTGCCAAGTGTGATATTAGTAGTTCTGATATGTGTTGAGGTTTGCAACACAGCTTACATTACTGACGTTATTGCTGGTGTTGATGTTTGCAAGAGAGCTTAACTTACATTATTGATGTTGTTGCAGGTGGTGGCATGTGTATGTGAGAGGAAGGAAGACAGAGACAGTCAGAGGACAGAGGAAGTATTGTTTGAACAGATGGAATACCTAGGTAGAAGCATCAGTGACTGGTCAAGTGTAGTGATAGCGTTTGAGGCATTGTGGGCCAGCAATACTGGAATATTGGCCACTCCAGCCCAGGTACAGGAGGCCCTGGCCATGCTGCGTCACTGGCTGCGTCATAACATCTCAGACAAGGTGGCCAACACAACTCGCATCATCTATGCTGGTTCAGTCTCCTCCAACAACTGTCAGGAACTAGCTAAGTTGAAGGACCTCGATGGCTTCCTGGTGGGAAGCTCAGCTCTCAAGCCTGACATTGTTGACATTATCAATGCCTCATGTGTGTCCTCTTCATCACTATGGGTGAAACAGCAGCAGCTGCAGCATATTACTAAACTCATCTCCCACGTCAAACACAGAGAAATAAATAAGCACAATTCTCTGGTTCCACGTATGCCTAAGAGATACATCTAGGTGTCCCAATTTAGTAGTTATTTATTACATTATTTACTATATTTATTGAATTTTGTCTATGACTTTTTATTTATATAATTTATATAATGTGCAGCTCTAATAAAAAGGGAAATCTATATTTTGACTGACTCTAAATATTTCTCACTCCCTTCCAGAGAGATGCCTTGATGCTGGTAAAAGGGCGTTTGATCCAAGGAATTGGGGCTACCATTCTCTTCCTTGGATCAAACCTGATTATTTCCCATTCCCAGGGGAATGGAAAATAATATTTTGCCCACATAATTTAAGAGGGGCACAACTAAGCAACAATTTATTGAATAATAATAATATTATTAATAATAATAATAATAATCTTAATTTCTACAAGTACAGTGGACCCCCGCATAACGATCACCTCCCAATGCGACCAATTATGTAAGTGTATTTATGTAAGTGCGTTTGTACGTGTATGTTTGGGGGTCTGAAATGGACTAATCTACTTCACAATATTCCTTATGGGAAAAAATTCGGTCAGTACTGGCACCTGAACATACTACTGGAATGAAAAAAGTTCGTTAACCGGGGGTCCACTGTACATGGACAAGGTATACAGGTCTAGCTGACATCAATTTACCAATGTTAGTTGTACCTCAGAGCTAGATGGGATTTGAGAGACATCAGGCAGCATCATGCCTCTCCCACCCACAGGCGGGCCTGTCAAATATCACATATATAAAAAATTAATACCAATAATATTGGTAAATTATAAGATAGTAGATTGTATAAATTTTTAAGGACTTTATCTCCAGAAATGGTTAATGGGAATACTAGTGAACACAGAGACTGGGTAAGATTTCTCAATACTTGAATATTATCACAATAATTAAAAATGCCAAATTATAGACATTAACTTACAATTATAGTGGCCACATCCTAATGCATCCCTATCAGAATATATGCAGTAGCCAAGGCAATATATACATACTGCTAATTAAGGTTAGTTTTTTAGTTTAATATGTTTATTATGCACCCCATACCCATCCTGTGGGCGGTAGTCAAAAGGTTGCAGAGGTACATAATTGGTCCAGGGACTGGACTCCAAAGTTTTGATAGCTGAGCAAGTTATAGAAGTAATGAATTCACAATTTACAAAGGTAATGAACTCACAATTTACAAAGGTAATGAACTCCAGGTAGGTCTAGTCACAATCATGACAAGTTACAAAGGTATTTACAGATTACAGAGGTACGTAATGGGTCCAGGGACTTAAGGGTAAGCATATATGTAATGTGGGCTGCTCAAATTTGCAGTCCACTTATTTCTGCTTATACAGTCATATTGGAGCTGCTTCACAAGTTATAAATTCATTTACCATTTCAGAGGATGCTAAATAAACTTCTAATCCTCGATTCCAGCCAATAAACCCATTTTTGGCCTCGATGATACCAGATTAATCATACTCAATTGCACTACCAGTGATGCATCGCTGTACTGTCCTCGTCTCTCTCCTCCATCAATAATAAAAAATGAAGTGCTAAACCTATAAGGGTCATACAGTTCTCCTCCTCCAGTGTGACGATTCATTTTATGTGTAATTCCTGTTTTTATTTTCAGAGTCACACCAACAATTCATTTTAAATATTACATGACAGTATTTATTTTTTTTACACTAAATTTAGGAAAATTATAAAAAATTCCACAACACCTATGGGTTTAGTGCTTTTCTATGAATATAATAAAAATTACATATCCCCAAAAGTGTGCCATATAGTGGTTGCTTGATATTTTTTCCTTCCAAGGTTTTTGTTCATTACCTAAGAATGTCTCATTTGATCGTTTCAAATTTTTAATGCTAGCACATGTATAAATAGGAAAAGATTTGTGCAACATTGCCATGTAAGGCAATAGTTGCATGAATGGATATGGTGGAATGGGAGGTTTGCGACATGAATGTGCAGCCAACAAATCTGTAGCAACTGCACGATGTTATCATGTTAATATATACCAGGATGCCTGGAGTATACCAGGAGGGTGTTCTGGGGGTCGACGCCCCTGCGGCCCGGTCCATGGCCTGGTACTTACTTTAGGTGCTTGTCCAGCTGCCAAGTATTCAGGCTGGAAGGGTGTGCTTAATCTTTATTTCTGCAAGTACATGTGCAAGGTATACAGACCATACCTGACATCAGTGACATACTATATAGAAACAGTTATATAGAAAGTATGTATGTACATGGTTATGCAATGCATTTTGAGAAAATTAGGTTAATATTGTCTCAGGATGTGACCCACACCTGGTGACTAACACCCAGGCACCTATTTTACTGCTAAGTGAACAGTGCCAGCAGGTGTAAGGTGACTTACACCCAGATATGTACTTATTTTACTGCTTGGTGAAGTGATAGCAGGTGTAAAGTGACTAACATCCAGGTACCTGGTGACTGGTAAGTAAGCTTATTTAGGCACAGGTGCACATAAGTACAATTATCATATTTTTTCTTTTCAACAAGTTGGCCGTCTACCACCTAGGCAGGGTGACCCAAAAAGAAAGAAAATCATACATATCATACATAGTATAAAATATCTAGAATAAAAAAAAAAAAAAAAAGTCTTTGAGAATATTTCATCTGATCTTGAGGTCTTTGAGAATATTTCATCCGATCGATTTCAACCCTTCAATGCTGGATCATTTTCCATAAATTAGGATTCACAATGTAAGGGGAACATTGTAAGACCCATGTAATAACTGGAAAATGCCTCTACCAACTGGCTTCGAACCTCTACAGACAAGCAGTGTCTACCTACTGACTACTGAGGCTCGCAGGACCCTATGTCTAGCTCTTATACAATGTCATATGGACTACGTTTGCTCTTCATGGTACTCTGCCTTGACAAAAACTGAAAGATTGACTACAAATCACCCTGAACAAAATGGTAAGATTCATCCTGGACCTGGATCCAGGAGAGCATGTATGTCAAGATGGTAAGATTCATCCTGGACCTGGATCCAGGAGAACATGTAGGCCAGGATGGTAAGATTCATCCTGGACCTGGATCCAGGAGAGCATGTAGGCCAGGATGTTAAGATTCATCCTGGACCTGGATCCAGGAGAGCATGTAGGCCAGGATGGTAAGATTCAGCCTGGACCTGGATCCAGGAGAGCATGTAGGCCAGGATGGTAAGATTCATCCTGGACCTGGATCCAGGAGAGCATGTAGGCTAGGATGGTAAGATTCAGCCTGGACCTGGATCCAGGAGAGCATGTAGGCCAGGATGGTAAGATTCATCCTGGACCTGGATCTAGGAGAGCATGTAGGCTAGGATGGTAAGATTCGTCCTGGACCTGGATCCAGGAGAGCATGTAGGCCAGGATGGTAAGATTCAGCCTGGACCTGGATCCAGGAGAACATGTAGGCCAGGATGGTAAGATTCATCCTGGACCTGGATCTAGGTGAACATGTAGGCCAAGATGGTAAGATTCATCCTGGACCTGGATCCAGGAGAACATGTAGACCAGGATGGTAAGATTCAGCCTGGACCTGGATCCAGGAGAACATGTAGACCAGGATGGTAAGATTCAGCCTGGACCTGGATCCAGGAGAACATGTAGGCCAGGATGGTAAGATTCAGCCTGGACCTGGATCCAGGAGAACATGTAGGCCAGGATGGTAAGATTCAGCCTGGACCTGGATCCAGGAGAACATGTAGACCAGGATGGTAAGATTCAGCCTGGACCTGGATCCAGGAGAACATGTAGGCCAGGATGGTAAGATTCATCCTGGACCTGGATCTAGGAGAGCATGTAGGCCAGGATGGTAAGATTCATCCTGGACCTGGATCTAGGAGAACATGTAGGCCAGGATGGTAAGATTCATCCTGGACCTGGATCCAGGAGAACATGTAGGCCAGGATGGTAAGATTCAGCCTGGACCTGGATCCAGGAGAACATGTAGACCAGGATGGTAAGATTCAGCCTGGACCTGGATCCAGGAGAACATGTAGGCCAGGATGGTAAGATTCATCCTGGACCTGGATCTAGGAGAGCATGTAGGCCAGGATGGTAAGATTCATCCTGGACCTGGATCTAGGAGAACATGTAGGCCAGGATGGTAAGATTCATCCTGGACCTGGATCCAGGAGAACATGTAGGCCAGGATGGTAAGATTCATCCTGGACCTGGATCTAGGAGAACATGTAGGCCAGGATGGTAAGATTCATCCTGGACCTGGATCTAGGAGAACATGTAGGTCAGGATGGTAAGATTCATCCTGGACCTGGATCTAGGTGAACATGTAGGCCAAGATGGTAAGATTCATCCTGGACCTGGATCCAGGAGAACATGTAGGCCAGGATGGTAAGATTCATCCTGGACCTGGATCCAGAAGAACATGTAGGCCAGGATGGTAAGATTCATCCTGGACCTGGATCCAGGAGAGCATGTAGGCCAGGATGGTAAGATTCATCCTGGACCTGGATCCAGAAGAACATGTAGGCCAGGATGAATTACAACAATTGGATATGTTGAATGTTGAAGACAGAGTAAAACAGAAGTTAAATCAAGTTTATAAAATTGGTCACAAACAGTGTCCAGAATATCTTGCTACTAATTTTGTCAAGGTTGGGAACCAAAGCAATCATAGTACTAGGGGGAGAGAACAATCATAGTACTAGGGGGAGAGAACAATCATAGTACTAGGGGGAGAGAACAATCATAGTACTAGGGAGAGAGAACAATCATAGTACTAGGGGGAGAGAGCACAACTTTGTAGTAGCCACAGTCAGTGGCCAGGCTTCAAACACCTTTTATTGTACAGTAATAAAGGAATGAAACAGACTGCCTGCACATGTCAAAGCCAGTCCCAGTTCAAGAAGAGTGCCAAAAGGTACCTAATGATTGTAGCGACAGAAAGGGAGGAGAATGATTTTTTATATTTGTAGTTAACACACATGTAAATATAAATAACTCATTCCTTTATAGTATAATAATGTTTTAAAAGGACATCAATGTAAATTAATCACTCTGACTTTTTTGGGTTATCCCAGGTTCTCTACACATATGCTGCTATGTATGATAATCTATGTAACTGTATTTGTGTATATCTGAATAAATTTACTTATTTACGTCAATGCTGCTGTAAGTGACATACAGCGGTTATACTTATTTTTTTTAAGTTCCTCACATCTCTTGAGAGTGTTGATCTACAGCTCTTGAGCCTTTATAAGTTCTAGACTACTGTTTTGAAATGAAACTCCCAATTTTCTTAAATGTTATTTTATTATTATTATTATTATTATTAATATTATGCCTAATAGAGTCTTAATAAGGACTCATTAACAAACTAGCTGCTCAGGCGGCACAACTAAAACTATAAATCTGTGTAATGAGTTGGCAGATAGTAACCATTGAGAGAGATACTAACATCCTGTCAATTGTGAAAAATCAGAAGGCCGTTAAACGTTTTGTGTTGGGGAGATTACTGGTGTTTCCTGTCTCTCTCCCCTTTTGATTAATTATAAACCTACCCAAAAAATTCCTGTTCTTTTCTTAATAATGATGCTACGTTTAATATTTTTGTTATGAACCCTATACCCATCCTGTGGATGGTATTCAAAAGATTAGAGGCACATAATGGATCCAGGGACTGTACCTCAATATTACAGAGGTACATAATGGGTCCAGGGACTACCTCAACATTACAGAGGTATATAATGGGTCCAGGGACTGTACCTCAACATTACAGAGGTACATAATGGGTCCAGGGACTACCTCAACATTACAGAGGCACATAATGGGTCCAGGGACTGTACCTCAATATTACAGAGGTATGGGTCCAGGGACTGTACCTCAACATTACAGAGGTACATAATGGGTCCAGGGACTACCTCAACATTACAGAGGCACATAATGGGTCCAGGGACTGTACCTCAACATTACAGAGGTGCATAATGGGTCCAGGGACTGTACCTCAACATTAAAGACACACATAATGGGTCCAGGTACTGTACCTCAACATTAGAGGCACATAATGGGTCCAGGGACTGTACCTCAACATTGCAAAGGCACATAATGGGTCCAGGGACTGTACCTCAACATTGCAGAGGCACATAATGGGTCCAGGGACTGTACCTCAACATTACAGAAGTACATAATGGGTCCAAGGATTGTACCTCAACATTACAGGTACATAATAGGTCCAAGGACTGTACCTCATTATAAGATGTACATAATGGGTCCATGGACTGTACCTCAATATTACAGAGGCACATAATGGGTCTAGGGACTGTACCTCAACATTATAAGAGGTACATAATGGAGCCAGGGACTGTACCTTAATATTACAGAGCCACATATAAAGCCCATTTAAGGTTTGTCAGGAAACAGGACAAGTGTTTCCTGACATGGGTCTTAGTCATATGATGATCCACCACTGGAGTTTTTGGCCCTAGAGACGCCTGCTGATGAAGATACGAAATGAGATGACACTACCCCCTGGGAAGTCACCACAAGAGAGATGATGTTACCCTCCACCCGGAGGGCCCAAGAAAGAAGACAGAAGAAAGATGAACAACACCCCCAACCCGGGGGCCACCACTTGGTCACCATCTGGAGAAGACCCAGGCCGAAAGTACCGGCAAATCCATAACGAATGAATGAATGAATGAATGGAGTTTTTGGTCATCTGACTGAGGCCTTCCACCGGCTTACCCCTCCACCCCTTTAAAATTTATGGTTTTGATTATAACCATTAGACTTCTAGGGGTGGTGAGTATGGGCCAGTCTCCTAACACCTGCTGCCTTTGTTCACCTAGCAGTATATAGGTGCCTAGGAGTCATTGACTGTTATGGGAAGGAGTTATTGTATTTCATGAAGAGGTAAACCTGTGTGGGTCAATCAGCACAAGGCTTGGTGGAGACTCAATCCTCTTTTTGCCAATCACACACCAATCCTTGATTAGTCGGGTTGTTGGTAATCATGTGGGGGAAGTACCTACGCATTACAATGGAAATAAGGCACACTACGTACTTGGCTTTCTTGGGTAATCCTGAGTTTTTAAACCCTCTGGGATAAAAATCCAAAAAACAACTTTTTTCTTCAACCCTAAATTTTCTTGACACTAAAACAAAACCGAAAAACAATCAAAATCTTCCCTATTCATCATTGTAGCGTACTTACGCATTTTGTGAAAATACATAAAAGAAAATATTTATGTCATAAGCAGCTCAGACGTAAGCAACAAGAAGGGTTTACATCATTTCCTGTTTGGTAGCAAGTATATAAGTCGAGGCACTGTCTGCTACTGTCACTAAGCCACTGTTCACTGCTTGTGATAGTAGCACCAGGAGACTGATCAGCATTACCATATAGTCATACAGATCAATAGAAAAAACGTTGAAGTCTCCTCTAGTTTATAGCATTCTATAAGTTATAGTGTGATCTGGGACATATTGTACACAGTACTGATTGTTCACTGCAGTGAAAAGTGCTGAATTATTATTATTATTATAATAAAAAAGAAGCACTAAGCCAGAAAAGTGCTGAGAAGTACTCACAAAACTATCACTGTTCAACAAACTGTAACTCTCACTCACTGCATTGAAAGTACTCACTAAATTAGTATCACAATAATGAAACCCAACATGTCCAGCCCAAGGAAGTTCTTCGTGATCGGTAACTGGAAGATGAATGTGACCAAATCTCGCATCGATAACATCGTGAAGTTCATGACAGCTGCCTCTCTGGACCCCAACACAGGTGAGCACCTTCCACATGTTTTAATGTCATCTTTTTATGTTGATGTATCTTGAAGATGTTAACTGTTACCACATTATGTTAAATGTCACCTTGTAGTTCACTGGTAGAGTGGTTCACACTCTCTAGAAGAGCCAGGTTCGAGTCCTGGATAGGACGAATTGTATGAGCAGATATTGAACCTGCCTCCTCATTCACCTAGCAATAAATAGGTATGGGGGATTTATTTGACTTGTGGGTGGCATCATAGGGAAGAGGAGCAAGGAATTCCAATCAAAATAAGCCACATTACTTAGCTTTCTTGGGTTATCCTGGTTTAAAGAAATCCAATCCAAATAAGCCACACTGCTAGCTGTCTAATGTAATCCTGGTTTAATAACCCAAGTAATGCCCTCACACTTTAGCATCATACACAGAAAGACACAAAATAAATCATTTAATCAGACATTATTACATTCAATAGGGAATAGTAAACCTGTGAGGGTCATATAGTGCCTGGGAAAATGAGAAGCAATCATGTACACAGAGAGGTAGGATAGGCTAATTCCTTGGAACAATAGCCCACTGAGGGGATTTAATCTGGCATTACTTGGAAAAACTTGAGATGCTAATAACAAATGTATATTTTTTGTATTATTAGTTTTGTGAGAACAAATATTAACATGTGTTTACCCCAACAGAGGCAGTGGTTGGATGTCCATCCTGCTACTTGTCTTATGCCAGAGACCAACTTCCACCCCAGATTGCTGTAGCTGCTCAAAACTGTTACAAGGTACAACCTGCTTGTATTGTCTGTTGTATACTGTTATATAGTACAATGTGCTTATATTGTCTCTGTTTTATACTGTTATAAGGTACAACATACTTGTATTGTCTGTTGTACACTGTTGCTTCAACAGGGTTTGGAAGAACATAACTGGTAGTGTAACTATTGCCTTCTGTGCTCTACTGTAGTTATAATTACGTGTACTAAAAAAGTGCCAAACCCATATGGGTGATACAGCTTATATTTATAATTCCATGTTTTTTTTGAACAGGTTGAAAGTGGTAACTTTAGTGGAGAGATCTCACCGGCCATGATTCATGACTGTGGAGGAGAGTGGGTCATCCTGGGTCACCCTGAACGCAGGACTATATTTAATGAACCTGATCATCTCATCAGTGAAAAGGTCGCTCACGCCCAAAAAGCAGGAATTAAGGTAACCCTTTCATCACTCTTACATTCTCCCAAAATGAAACTTGTGTTTTCAAACTATAGTAGTGAGTTGAAGTCAATATCAAATTTACATTTCAATTTAATATAAGAAAAGTATAAGTTGAACTTTAATAGAATTGTTCAGGTTTGCCAAGTGTGATATTAGTAGTTCTGATATGTGTTGAGGTTTGCAACACAGCTTACATTACTGATGTTATTGCTGGTGTTGATGTTTGCAAGAGAGCTTAACTTATATTATTGATGTTGTTGCAGGTGGTGGCATGTGTATGTGAGAGGAAGGAAGACAGAGACAGTCAGAGGACAGAGGAAGTATTGTTTGAACAGATGGAATACCTGGCTAGAAGCATCAGTGACTGGTCAAGTGTAGTGATAGCGTTTGAGGCATTGTGGGCCAGCAATACTGGAATATTGGCCACTCCAGCCCAGGTACAGGAGGCCCTGGCCATGCTGCGTCACTGGCTGTGTCATAACATCTCAGACAAGGTGGCCAACACAACTCGCATCATCTATGCTGGTTCAGTCTCCTCCAACAACTGTCAGGAACTAGCTAAGTTGAAGGACCTCGATGGCTTCCTGGTGGGAAGCTCAGCTCTCAAGCCTGACATTGTTGACATTATCAATGCCAGAAGTTCTCACATCTCCAGACTTGTTGACATTTTCTCCTCATATGAACATATGTCCAGGGCAATATAAACAGTCCGGCTAACAAGCTTTACATATTACATCCGAGAGGATAGCAAAACCCCTTGGAGTTATATAGAACTGTGGAAATAGGACACAATGAGATATGATCCAAGAGTGGTTCTAATTCTTTTGATTAAAAGCCCTTAATTGCCATCAAAGTATGTACCTTGAAGGATTTACAAACTAAAGTATTCTTGACTGATGGTGTACAGGTGATATGCAACCTCAATGACCCCTTATGTAGTAGATAAATATTATAAATCACTAAACCTAAAGGGTCATACAACACAACACTAGACTTGAAACCTCATCAACCAAACCCCTCCACATTAGGTCTGCACAGCCCTGTTGAACCTTGCAGCTATCATGACAAGATTACAATTATTATATTCGTGGGGAAATGCTAAACTCATAGGGGCCATACAGCACCTGGAGTCTATGACACTGTGGTTTGATCCAAGGGAGAGGCGCACCTTCAGTACTCTATCTTCCCATCACCATAGAAAGGATTTTTGTATTTTTTTTTTTTTTTGTAAATCATTATTCAATAATTTCTTCCCCACGACTTATATGTGATTCTTGTCAAAGGTACATGTATTTATAAATTTGAATGAAAGTCGATTATTATTTATTTAATTTAGATGTTCGGTGCTTGTAATATTAACTGTAGTGTAGGCACACCTCTGGCAAGACAGTGATGGAGTGAATGATGATGACTGTTTCTTCTTTCTTCAGGCCACCCTGCCTTGGTGGGAAATGGCCGATGTGTTATTAAAAAAAATTCTAGTTCTTTACTTTAGTTATTAAACACTTATAATAATGTGGCATGGTATGTTAAGTTATATAATTTATATACTTGTACCTCAATTAAATCAGTAATATTACTTATTTGTTTATGTAACCGATGACAAAATATTCTCCCTGATATTATTAGTGTAATATTATTATTCTAATAAAGGGAAAGAGCTAAATCAATAAGGGTCAATACAATGGCTAGGGAAATGGGAGGCACTCAGGTTTTGATCTAAGAAATTTGAAGTCAAGGTTAATTCCTTCGAACAAGTGCCCCTCACAGACATCAAAACTTATAGGTATTGATACGGCATCTGGGGTAAGGGAGGCATTTATGTTTAATCCAAAGGGGAGGATAAGTCCAGTTCCTTGTGTAAAATCCCTCACTGAGATCATGCCAGATCCCTTAGGAGGAGTGTATGCCAGAGGAAATATGGAACACATCATGTAGCATCTATAATTCTGGATGTTTCAATAAGTAAACCCTCGATATAACACACTTCTACACAAGGAACTTCGGAATACAAAATAAAATTCGCCGAGTCAACTGACTCAGAAACAACAAAATCTGTTGGCTACAAAATATTTAGCTCATGCCACTTTTTTTTTTTTTTTTTTCAACAAGTCGGCCGTCTCCCACCAAGGCCACATATAAACTAAATAATGTAGATCTTAATACTACTGATTGCAAAAAGGATTTAGGAGTTCTGGTTAGCAGTAATCTAAAATCAAGACAACAGTGCATCAATGTTCGCAATAAAGCGAACAGAATTCTTGGCTTCATATCCAGAAGTATAAATAATAGAAGTCCTCAGGTTGTTCTTCAACTCTATACATCCTTGGTTAGGCCTCATTTAGACTATGCTGCTCAGTTCAAGTCACCGTATTACAGAATGGATATAAATGCTCTGGAAAACGTACAGAGGAGGATGACAAAGATGATCCCATGTATAGGATAGACTGAGGGTCCTGAATCTGCACTCTCTCGAAATGTGTAGAATAAGGGGGGATATGATTGAGGTATATAAATGGAAAACAGGAATAAATAAAGGGAATGTAGTGTGCTGAAAATTTCCAGCCAAGACAGGACTTGCAGCAATGGTTTCAAGCTGGAAAAATTCAGATTCAGGAAGGATATAGGAAAGCACTGGTTTGGTAATAGAGTTGTGGATGAGTGGAACAAACTCCCAAGTACAGTTATTCAGGCTAAAACCTTGTGTAGTTTTAAAAATAGGTTAGATAAATACATGAGTGGGTGTGGGTGGGTGCGAGTTGGACCTGACTAGCTTGTGCTGCTGGGTCTGGTGCTGTGCTCCTTCCTTGAGTGGAGGTGACCAGACTGGGTGGGTCATTGGGCTAATCTGGGGGGTTGGCCATAGACCTGCTCTGCATGGGTCAGTAGGCCTATTGCAGTGTTCCTTCTTTCTTATATTATGTTTATGTTACTATCAGAATAAAACACTTCCCTATCCACCATAACTGCCATTACCAGCCTCCTGTTCCCCTCTATTAATCCATTACATTAAGAGAAGGTACAGTGGACCCCCGGTTAACGATATTTTTTCAAACCAGAAGTATGTTCAGGTGCCAGTACTGACCGAATTTGTTCCCATAAGGAATATTGTGAAGTAGATTAGTCCGTTTCAGACCCCCAAACATACATGTACAAACGCACTTACATAAATACACTTACATAATTGGTCGCATTCGGAGGTGATCGTTATGCGGGGGTCCACTGTATTTGCAGAATGCTCTTAAGCAAACTGATAGTACTGAGCAGCTGGCAAGGATAGAACAGTACATATAAATACAATCTAAAAGGCAGCCAGATATGAATTGTGAGGTAACTACTTCTTTCAACAAACCAGCTGTATCAAAGGCAGGGTGACCCAAAAAGGAAAAGTTTCTCTTTATAACTTTAGTAATGTATACAAGAGAAGGGATTACTAGCCCCTTGCTCAGTGAAGTAACTGCTTACATATATAAATATGCCAGATCAGAGTGTGAGGGGTATGCAAGCCTGTGGACCACTAGTACCAATAGCTGTTTATCAGTCAACAAGTAAGTCTGGTCTCAGGCCAAGCTGAGGGGACAGAAGTAACTCTCTAAATCAGTCTTGGGTGTATCAAGTTTTTTTTTTTTTCAACAAGTCGGCCGTCTCCCACCGAGGCAGGGTGACCCAAAAAGAAAATCCCCAAAAAGAAAATACTTTCATCATTCAACACTTACACCTCACTCACACATAATCACTGTTTTTGCAGAGGTGCTCAGAACACAACAGTTTAGAAGCATATACGTATAAAGATACACAACATATCCCTCCAAACTGCTAATATCCCAAAACCCCTCCTTTAGAGTGCAGGCATTGTACTTCCCATTTCCAGGACTCAAGTCCGGCTATATAAAAATAACTAACAAGTATAACTATAATTTTTGCTACTTAAGGATTAATCAAAACAAATATTATAACTACATATCATATAATTTCATTTCATACATTCATTTACTGCATATATCATTTATGGTAGCTCCCACTTGTCTCAAAAAATAACAAATTGATATTCATTAGTTAGCCTACAATCCTTTCAGGAAATATTTAAATAGTTACTGCTCTATGAATACAATATATTGTAGTTATTCAAACCTAAGTACTGATGCAATAAGATCACAGTAATCAGGTGACAGCATAGTATGCAGAATAACCACTGTGAAAAACAAGTGATATTCCAAGTGCTTTTGTGATTTTTTCATATTATCAAGGAACAGTTACACAAATAACCCGCATACAGAAGAGAGGAGCTTACGACGACGTTTCAGTCTAACTTGGACCATTTACAAAGTCATACATGGTCCAAGTCGGACTGAAACGTCATCGTAAGCTCTTCTCTTCTATGTGCGGGTTATTTGTGTATTGTTCCAGTCACGGTATTGTGCCTGTTTTTGTTATTTAAGGAACAGTTCCTTGATAATGTGAGAAATCACAAAAGCACTCGAATTTCACTATTTTTTCACTAGTTATGCAGTATTTTACTTCCTATCATAAATGAGGCAAGTTCTACAATATCAGTGCTGTTCTACTTTATGATTCATCTTACCATGTACATTTCTTTAATAAAATATTGAAGGTTAATCCCACGTAGGCGTCTTGTCAATATACTCGCCATCAGGAGACTCATAATCTTTAATCGGGGGAGTAGCAACAGGACCCTTCGCTGTGAATGGTAGCAGGGTTTGGTCCAACTGAACAGCCTCAAACCACAAATCCTCTGATTCAAGCCGGAGTTCCTGTAAAAAAAAAAAAAAAAAAACTTGTAGCAAATAATGTACAAAATCTTGTATGTTAAAATCTGTAGCTTGTATGATAAAAGCACATCACTTTAATAAAGCGCAGTACAATACTGTAACGCTATACAATCCGTTTAGGGCTATGCTTAAAAATTATCTCATCTCTCAATGTCAAGTAACACAATTTATCATCAGTATGAAGAAACTCTCCCAAATATATGACCTCTGACTGCACTTTAAAGGAGGGTTTGGGATACTGGCAGTTCGGAGGTTGACATTTATCCCGTTAACTGTAGCATAGCGCTCTGAATGTTGATCTACGTTTTTTACGTGGTTTCAAATGGAAAAAAAATCAAGGTCGAAGCACTACACGCATAAACATGGATCTACTCTTGGACAGTTAACGGGTTAAACTATCGTATGTGACCGCCTCTGCAAAGACAGTGATTATGTGAGTGAGGCGAAAGTGTTGAATAATGATGAAAGTATTTCCTTTTTGGGGATTTTCTTTCTTTTTGAATCACCCTCCCTCGGTGGGAGACGATCGACGTGTTAAAAAAAAAAAAGTCTATTAACCCGTAAACGGTCCAAACGTATATATATGTTTTTTCAACATTTGAAAGTATGTAAAAAAAGTAGATCTTCTTTTTGTGTAAAAAAACTTCGATCTACTTTTTTTTTGTTATATTTGAAAATATGTAAAAAAAAAAAAAACGTAGATCTACTTTTGTAGCACTACACACGTGAACGTAGATCTGCTTGGACTGTTTACGGGTTAAAACATCTGCTAATCCATAAAATATTACTGTTTGAACGATTATTTGTAACTGTTATTTATGTGCAACTTCAAGATTATTCTTATAAATTTCCGTCTTTGACTACCACGCATTAGTATTAAAATAAAGATTTATTTAAGACTCTATGACCGCGGGTTCAATCCCGGCCGGGGGTATGGTTTATGGTTTATTTAAGAGATAACCACGCTTATCTTGTCTAGACTTAAGCAGTAGTTTTTAAGTATATTAGGATTAGTCTGCCCCGGCATGATAGTGGTTTTCTTTATACGTACTTAACAAATCAAAATTGTAATTACACACTGCAACCTTTGCAAAGAAATAAAATCTATCTTTTATCTTTATAACTTATTTCTCCTTCTATAAACAAAATTAAACTATGACAACATGATATAAAATCCAAATACAATAAAATGGTGATGTGCATGTTAAAAATGTCACATGAGCTATCATAGCAATGCACCTTTGGCAAGACAGTTATGATAAATGGTCAATGCATTTCCTTTTTGGGTCCTTCGCCTACATGGGAAATGGCCTATATAATGTATATACTAAATAAGCAACATTAATTTACATAACCCTGAAAAACTGTATACCTGGGGTATACTTGGAGTTCCAGGGGTCAACGCCCCCATGGCTCGGTCTGTGACCAGGCCTCATGGTGGATTAGGGCCTGATCAACCAGGCTGTTACTGCTGGCTGCACTTTGTACACCAAAGTGCTGTAAATTTTAATTTTTAAGCTCATTTTTGGAAAACTTAGGGTAAGTCTCAATTGCTCTCAATTTAAACACTGTTCTCTGAAAGAAGGCAACATGCATGTAGTGGTGATATCACCACTACACACAATACAAAAATATCACTACAAACTATACAAAACTATCACTAAAACTATACAAACCTATCACCATTACATATGATACAAAACTATCACCACAAAACTATCACCTGGTCTCAGACTGGGCCACGGGGGCATTAACCCCCGAAACCCTCTCCAGGTAAACTATACACTATACAAAACTACCACTATACACTATACAAAACTACCACTATACACTATACAAAACTACCACTATACACTATACAAAACTACCACTATACACTATACAAAACTACCACTATACACTATACAAAACTATCACTGCAATACACTATACATAACTTTCACCACTGTACATGATATAAAACGATAGGAGTGAATGGAGACGAATGGTATTTGGGACCTGACGATCTGTTGGAGTGTGAGCAGGGTAATATTTAGTGAAGGGATTCAGGGAAACCGGTTATTATTACATAGCCGGACTTGAGTCCTGGAAATGGGAAGTACAATGCCTGCACTCTAAAGGAGGGGTTCGGGATATTGGCAGTTTAGAGAGATATGTTGTGTATATGCTTCTAAACTGTTGTGTTCTGAGCACCTCTGCAAAAACAGTGATTATGTGTGAGTGAGGTGAAAGTGTTGAATGATGAAAGTATTTTCTTTTCTGGGATTTTCTTTTTTTTTGGGTCACCCTGCCTCGGTGGGAGACTGCCGACTTGTTGTTAAAAAAAAAAAAAAAACACCCTATACAAAACTATCACTACACAAAAATATCACCACTACATACCATACAAAACTATCACTACAAACTATACAAAACTAACACCAATAACCTCTACTCGCTATACAAGTCTCTCACCACATTATACAAAACTACTATAACCTCACTATAGAACTACTACCACCCCCTTGACAAAACTACCACCACCCTTGACAAAACTACCACCCCCCTTGACAAAACTACCACCCCCCTTGACAAAACTACCACCCCCCTTGACAAAACTACCACCCCCCTTGACAAAACTACCACCCCCCTTGACAAAACTACCACCCCCCTTGACAAAACTACCACCACCCTTGACAAAACTACCACCCCCCTTGACAAAACTACCACCCCCCTTGACAAAACTACCACCCCCTTGACAAAACTACCACCACCCTTGACAAAACTACCACCCCCTTGACAAAACTACCACCCCCCTTGACAAAACTACCACCCCCCTTGACAAAACTACCACCCCCTTGACAAAACTACCACCCCCCTTGACAAAACTACCACCCCCTTGACAAAACTACCACCCCCCTTGACAAAACTACCACCCCCCTTGACAAAACTACCACCCCCCTTGACAAAACTACCCCCCACTTGACAAAACTACCACCCCCCTTGACAAAAACTACCACCCCCCCTTGACAAAACTACCACCCCCCTTGACAAAACTACCACCCCCCTTGACAAAACTACCACCCCCCTTGACAAAACTACCACCCCCCTTGACAAAACTACCACCACCCTTGACAAAACTACCACCACCCTTGACAAAACTACCACCACCCTTGACAAAACTACCACCACCCTTGACAAAACTACCACCACCCTTGACAAAACTACCACCACCCTTGACAAAACTACCACCACCCTTGACAAAACTACCACCACCCTTGACAAAACTACCACCACCCTTGACAAAACTACCACCACCCTTGACAAAACTACCACCACCCTCTACAAAACTTCCTCCACCCTCTACAAAACTTCCTCCACCCTCTACAAAACTTCCTCCACCCTCTACAAAACTTCCTCCACCCTCGACAATTCTCACGTCACTATATTATTCAAAACTATTATTTAAGGTATATGGCCCCCACCACTCTGTTATTCTTTATTACTGAAGGTTTGTTATCTCAGAACTTTAATGTCCGGGAGAAGTAAGATGAAGTCTCAGATTCAAGTTAGAGATCGTTTCCTGAAGTATAATGAATACAATCCATATCTACGCACCATCAGATGCATGTGCCAAGATGATGTAGAGCAGATATTGTACCATACCCCTCGTCCCCTGGGACGCTACTGCAGGTTTGTCATTAACGATGACATCCTGAGAGAACCTCCTCTGGCCCGTGGGCGAGGCTTCTACATGGTCATTGAGTCTGTGCAGAATATCAGAGCACACTGCGTATCTGTGTTCCGCTGCTGGGATGGTCAATATCTATACTTCGACTCCGCTTCTCAGCCTCCTAGCTCCTTCTTCTTGGAATATCTGGCTATACATAGGATCCCAAAGCACCAGGTGACCAACGTGACTGCTGTGACACAGAAGCCCAACTTTATGACATGTGCTTACCATGTGTTTACCTTCCTGGACTATGCCACTACCAGTCATATCACTGATTCTCAACAACTTATCAGTGAATACGTCCACCAGTTGGGTCAAGACACGGATTGGGCTGTAGTAGACCACGTCATGGAGATGCTAACAGAATTCCATCATACTACAATGTGTTGGAATACAGGTTACGTGGAGCTCAGTGTCCTGCCACCAGTGACTGACACTGCAGCCAACACAAGATATAGGCGCAGGCACCACAAGCGCAACAAGCATCACCTTCTAAAGAAACCAGTTAAGGGATACAAACATCGCTTCAACCACTGAAGAGTAAATGAAATCTCCCAAGGAATTATACTACTGAATCCTTCATCAGAAAAATGTATACTGGGTAGAAGAAGAAAAAAAAAAGGGGGGGGGGAGGGGAGGTGATAGTACCGAGTAATGATGAGTGTGTTGTGTAGTGATAGTGTTGTGTAGTGGTGATAGTACTGTGTAGTGATAATGTTGTGTAGTGGCTATAGTGTTGTGTAGTGACAGTGTTATGTAGTAGGTTGATTAATCTGTATAAGTATTTCGACCCCCCTTCTGGGATCCACTTCTGCAGAGGATCCTTTGCTAAAGAGGATCCCAGATGGGGGGTTGAAACATACGGATCAATCAACCTCCCATATTTCTGTCTCCACGTGGGTTATTATTGAGCATTAGCAATCATATTACTATGGATAAAGAATTAATAATCATTAAAAACTATAAATATATTGTAACTGCACTACGTATGTTATTGGGTTAGATAAAACAAAGCCAAAAAATCTGAAGACAAGAGGACGATTATTTTATGACACTATGAACCTTCAAAATGTTCTGGAAAAACTAACTGTACATTACTTCATAATTTGTTTTTACATCAGCTGTCTCCCATTAAGGTATGAGGAAGTACTAAACCCATAGGAGTCATACTGCACTTGGGGAATGGGAAGAAATAACATACGAGCCAAGAAAGGAAGGGTAACCCTAATTTTCTGGTTCAAGAGCCCTTAACCAAAATCAAGGCACTTCCTTTGAAGAGCATGGTCCTCAGAACTCAACACACGACATACTCTACCTTTAATGCTTGTTCTCTAGAGACCCCTCACCAAAATCAAGGCACCCTCCCTCTTGAAGAGCATGACTCCAGAACTCAACACCTGACATTCTACTTTAAGGCTCGGTCTTTAGAGCCCTTCACTAAAATCAAGGCACCCCCTTGAAAAGCATAGTCCACAGAACTTGACACTACATCACATACTATACCTCTAATGCTCGTTCTCTAGAGGCAATAATGGTCTCAATCATATTGACTTCCGTGAAGTGTTGCTGGTACTTGTATTTTGACCACTTCTTAAACAGGGAGGCCCGCTCCTCTTCAACTTCCTCTAACATGGGACTCGTGGGTCGCTTGCGAATCCTGTGAAGCAAAATTATTATCGTTTATGACTCATCGTAATAACACGACTGCAAACAAAACCACAGTATGGGTAGGATTTGAAGCCACGGCAAGCGAGTCGTAAAATTCCGGGCCAGTGAATGAGCCACTCGACCAGCAGGCCAAAATAAGATTCACCCAACTAATAAACCACGGTATAAATATATGTACGTTGAAAGAAGAAGAACGATAAATATATATATATATATATATATGTATTTTTTTCAACAAGTCGGCCGTCTCCCACTGAGGCAGGATGACCCCCAAAAAAAGAGAAAATCCACAAAAAGAAAATATTTTCATCATTCAACACTTTCACCTCGCTCATACATAACCACTGAAAAAGAGGAAGGCTCAGTACGTGATTGAGGTCGATCTAGTGATGTTGACGATGCCAGTGATCAGTCTCGCTGTCAGGTCACGAGTGGTTTATTATTTTTCTTTTAACATGCTGGTTGTCTCCCACCAAGGCAGGGTGACCCAAAAAAAGGAAAAATTAAAGTTTTTCTGCCTTTTTACAGTTAATAATTTACACAGGAGAAGGGGGTTACTAGCCCCTTGCTCCTAGCATTATTATTATTTTCTTATATTATATTCACAAGTGCTGAACCTGTGGTCATTCAGTTCCTGGGAAATAAAAAGTAATCAAATTTGATCAAAGAAAAAATAAATAGTTCAAATTCTCCAATGCCTCTGCCAGCATCAAGGCACCCCTGAAATTTAATAGAACAATTCAACTAGATTAAGAATTGTTTACATAAAAGTAAATACAGCCTCTCCTCACCTAACGATGGAGTTCCATTCCTAAGACCACGTTGGTAAACGAATTCATGGCTAAATGAGGAGCATACTACAATGGCAGTGGGTTTGTGTCAACCATCTCTGGTATAGTTTTAATATCACCTCTGCACCACTTATAACATTTCTGGTATATTTTTAAATGTTTATAGTGTACTGTATATTGTAATAAACATAACAGGAAATTAGCTCTAATATACATTATCTAAGTATGCAAACTGGTCAGAGAGACCATCCTAAGTCTGAATCGTAGGTAAACAAGTACGTTGCTGAGGAGAGGTTGTACTGTAATGCATTATATAAAGTCTTTTCTTTATACAATGTACAAAGCTTCATGATACAATATTTCTAATAATAATAAATTAAAGCACCATAACAAATCACTTTCCAAGAAATTAGAAATAAAAAATAAATAATGTTTCGGTCCATTATCACAATATGATTATTGCTCAGAATGAACCAAAATGTTGTCCAGGATTAATTTGTAATTTTTTGGGCTAGTAAATTTTAGAAAAAAAATCATTCTGCCCTCACTCTCCTCTCTTTCTCTTCTCCCTCTGCCCTATCTCCCTTCTCTCCATCTCAGATCTTTCAGAAGTATTGAGCTTCACCAAGCTCCTGGAGAGTGAAACGTTGCCACAATAAAATGACGCATTAGTTGCATCTTTGTCCTTTTACCTAACATAAAATGAAACACACTAACTCTATCTCCTGGAGAACAGTGCGTGGGACCTCAAGTTCTTCAAGTGGCTTCAGCTGTCCAGCATTCTTCTCTAAGCGACGGATTGCCTTCTCAATTTTCTTTTTCCTGCGCTCCTCCTTGTGACGCACCAGCATTGGATCCAGTTTCTTCTTTTTCTTCAAGGGTTCACCTCTAGAAAATTAAGCAAAAAGTTATCTTTTGAATATGGTATTATCCAAAAGGATAAATGATCCATTAAAACTATTTTTTTTCCATATTGGTAATTTTATGGATAAATTTCAGTAGTATAGTACATGTCAGAGAGTAGAATAGTACGTATAGTACATGTCAGATGGTTTGATCATGTAGAAATTGATACGTGTTCATGTGCACGTGTGCGCGTCAATATATAACAAAATAAACATTATGAAATATGTAGTTTGTAGACTGATTATGTAGAAAGGAAGATGCAAGGTACTATAGGTTGGACAAGAGAGTTTAATTCTGAGATAGATGGAAGGTGTTGGAATAAATCCCAGAAAGTATAGGAGAGGGGGGAAGAGGGTGTTCCAAGAAAGTGCTGGAGATAAGGTTTAAAGGAGACTTTGAATTGTAGCACTTGAATGTCCAGCAAAATGCATCACAAAAGAATAAGTGGAGAGTTGCGGGGAGGGTATTTGGCATGCTGCTGAAGTGTGAATAGGGTAACACCTATGAAGAGATTCTGGGAAACTGGCTGTTTGGTCCTTTAAGGTATATAGGAAATATAGTGCCTGTATTTTTAAGGCTTGGTGGGGATGCTGAAGTCCTGTGAATCCTTTGAATTGTGATGTCAGCCTTCTCCCACTGAGACAGGGTGACCCAAAAAGACAGAAAATCCCCAAAAAGAAAATACTTTCATCACCATTCAACACTTTCACCTCACTCACACATAATCACTGTTTTTTGCAGAGGTGCTCAGAACACAACAGTTTAGAAGCATATACGTATAAAGAGACACAACATATGCCTCCAAACTGCTAATATCCCAAAACCCCTCCTTTAAGAGTGCAGGCATTGTACTTCCCATTTCCAGGACTCAAGTCCGGCTATATAAAAAAAACAGCTAGTGAATGAGTGATAGTGTATATACAGCATTTTCCTTTTCTGGGTCATCCTGCCTTTCTTACAGATGTACCGTCTTTTTTTCTTTAGCACATTGGCTGTTTCACACCAAGGCAGGGTGATATGAAAAAGAAAAAACACTCTCATCATCAGTCACTCCATTACTGTCTTGCCAAAAGCATGCCAATACTACAGCTCCAAAAACTGCCACACATCTCCACTCCTCTTTCAGAGTGCAGGCACTGAACTTTCCACCTCCAGAACTAAAGTCCAGCTAACCGGTTTTCCTGAACACTTCATATATATATTTATTTCCTCTTTTCTACTTGCACATTTCACTCATTCTATGCCTTTTTTAGACTGATTAGAATGTTTAGGGCTTTTCAACACTTCATAAGAAAGATTCCCGATACAAATTACTTTTTCCATATTTCTCTGAATGCTTTTTAGTGCTGATCACATCTTTACTGCTGGAAACAATGCCAATTTTATATGAGAGACGACAGTACCAGAGTTAACATTCAAGAATCTTCAGCACTCCAGAGACAATGTTAAGGGGAACTAATGTTAATGAACCAATGAAAGATGAAGACGAAGAAAGAAATAAATAGTACGAGCATTATGCTGTTCTCTATTGTCCTGCAATATTTCAGTGCCTTCTACCGAGGCAACTTTCACCCTCATTTTGAAAGTCACCTTGATAGACGTAACAACTGATTTAAAAATAAAATAATTAAGCAATAAATTTATAAAATTGAGGTATGTTGCTACTGAATCTTGAAGTACATCTTTCACTGAATTTAAATGCACAGTGGACCCCCAGTTTACGATATTATTTCATTCCAGAAGTATGTTCAGGTGCCAGTACTGAACGAATTTGTTCCCATAAGAAATATTGTAAATTAGATTAGTCCATTTCAGACCCCCCAAACATACACGTACAAATGCACTTACATAAATACACTTACATAATTGGTCGCATTGGGAGCTCATCGTAAGGCGGGGGTCCACTGTAGTTTTAAATGATTAAAATAAAAAAGGAGAATATTGTACAGTATACTGAAATTGAGTTCTCATGCTTTGCAATATAATACAGAAGGTCAGGTAAGGTTTGTCAGGAAAAAGGACAAGTTAATATAGAATGTATCGCCAACTTACGCAACAGCTTGGGTGAGTCTGAAACAGAGTGGCGCTGCGGCTGTTGTAATATACCGCTCTCCGGTTTGTTTTATTGTGCAAAATCTGAAATATTTTTGGTATCAGTCATTCATCAGCATTAAAATATAGTATATTCAAGATTCTTTATCATGGTACAATGTTTATACAGAGATGGATGACATTTAGGCATGCATGCAGAATGTCCCTTAGTAAACAGAACATTTCGGGCAACATTGATCTGAATATGGTACAGTATACTAACATTAATAACACACTGAACGATACAGTAGAGACTGGTTAGTTCAATTCTGCTATAGTTCAAAAAGTGCCCTATTCATAATTAAAGAACTTGTACAATGGGTCTTTTATTTCGTGAATCATCATACATATGACTGATTTTTAATATTTAAAAAATACATTTGTACACTTATGTCATATCCCCTCTAATTCTACAACTATTCAGAGAACAGAAATTTGGTGCTTTTAGCCTGTCTTTGTATGGGAGATTCTTGAATTAAAGGGTCAACTTTGTCAACCTCCTCTGTAATGAGATTACAACTTGGCAGCATAATATAAATAAAGGCTTACCAAAGAAATATATAGCTGAAGTATAACATCAGAACTTCCACTAGCATTTGCTTGTTTTTGTGTGCAGCTCTCTCTAATTCCTTGAGGATCTCTATGCCCTTTCTAAATCTAAATTTGATCAACTTGAATAAATGCTGCAAGTTCTCTGGGCTAGATATTTTCATCACATTAAGAACCGAAAAGGCACAATACCGTGACTGGAACAATACACAAATAACCCGCACATACAATGTGTGGTTTACACATTATAAAATATTAAGTAATTACAAAAGAAAGCCTCTAGCATGCCTAGGTAGTTCGGACCAAAACGTCATCATGAGCTCCTCTCTCCTATGTGTGGGTTATTGTATTTTCATCACTATTTATATCACTATTATTAATTCCAATTTTCCATTTGTACACCTCAATCATATTCCACCTAGATTAAACCCAGGGTAATGCAAAAAGCCAGTGATTAAATTAAACTGAGGCATTTATTCAGGCATGATTATTAATAATTAATGTCCAAATAAAAATGAATAAATAAATAAATCTTCAACTTTAAAATATGTAACTTAGGAAGGTGCACTACTACATAAGAACATAAGAATGGAGGAACACTGCAGAAGGCCTACTGGCCCATACAAGGCAGGTCCTTATCAAAACGACCTCTACCCAAAGTTACCCAAGAATTAACTCCTGTACCCAATGACAAAAAAAAAGTAATTAAATACTAACCTGTGCTATATTTTTTTTTATTTTATTAACACATCGGCCATTTCCCACCAAGGTAGGGTGGCCTGAAAAAGAAAAACTTTTACCATCATTCAGTCCATCACTGTCTTGCCAGAGGTTCACTTACACTACAGTTATAAAACTGCAACATTAACACCCCCCATAGGGGGTATACAATATTATTCATAGGAGTGTTAACCCATAGAAGAATGAATGAGGAATGGGAGGTGATGAGGTTAGATGTAACAATACATAGCGGGATCTGATAAAGACGCATTGTGACCTCTGTACTTCTGCTTTCTGAGCTACCCCATGAAATATGTCTCTGATTTTTTTTAGGTTATCTTAAGAGGGTAATTAACACTATGATAATTGTACTTATGTGTACCTGTACCTAAATAAACTTACAGCATTGTTAGCGCACTCATCTCACACACTGAGGTCTGTGGTTTGATCCCCACTAAGGGTGAAAACATTAGGACTTATTACCTTAAGACACCTGCTGTCTATGTTCACCTAGTAGTAAAATAGGTACCTGGGTGTTAGTGAACTGGTGTGGGTTACATCCTGGGGACAAAATTAACCTAATTTGTCTAAAATGCTCTGCATAACCAGGGGATTTCTATACGTATAGAATGTCACTGATGTCAGCTATGGTCTGTATACCTTGTACATTTACTTGTTTTATTATCATTATGGTCAAAATTAAGCACTAAACCACCAGGGTACATGTACTTGCAGATATATTATTATTATTATTCAAGAAAAAGGAGGGTAGCACCTAGGTTTAGGTCAATTAATTTAGGTAGAGGTACACACAAATAAAGTTACACAAATTATCATACATAGTATAGTAACGAGCGTAAACTACCAAGGATAACTCAGTAACTTATTACCACTGGTGTCCTTGTATCAAGAACCCTTCAGCAGCACCTAGTATGCAAGCTTTTATTCAGGTACAGGTACACAAATACAGTTATATAGATTATCATAAATAACAGCATGTGTGTAGAGTACCTTAGATAACCCAAAAAAGTCAGTCACTTCCATTGGGGTCATTACTATAATCAAGGGTGAAGCGCTAAACCCATAGGATTACAGTGCCTGTGAGGGGACGTGGAAGGCATTCAAGCTTAATTCAGGCAACTGGAGCACAGGTCCAATTCCCTAGATCTAGAGCCCCTCACCAGAATCAAGGAACCTTCCTTGAGAGGCCAATGGGGTCAGAGTGCCTTATTTCTATGGACCTCCCTTCACCATGTAGGTACTAACCTATTATAACAAATCAGAACCAAGTGCTAAACCCACAAGGGTCAAGATACTAACCTATTTGCAGAAGATAACACATTTCGTAAACTTATCATCTCCGGCGTAAATTCTCTCTTCTTTATCTTCTGGTAACTCAGGCCACACCGTGTCCACCCTCTGTCCAGGGAAGTAAATCTTAAGTATACAGTGGACCCCCACTTTACGATCACCTCCCAATGAAACCAATTATGTAAGTGTATTTATGTAAGTGCGTTTATAAGTGTATGTTTGGGGGTCTGAAATGGACTAATCTAATTCACAATATTCCTTATGGGAACAAATTCGTTCAGTACTGGCATTGAACACACTTCTGGAATGAAATAATATCGTAAACCGGGGGGTCCACTTATTCAGGTTCGTGTACACAAATACATACAAGAACTAGTGTTGAAATCTTAGAGGTAAGATATATCATTTAGTTATCCATGTACCATTATTTTTATTCTTGAGTCGATTGCTAGTGCACTCGTGTCAACAGTGTATTGTGAAGACCAATGTAAACACTACTGGGGTAACTAATGTAATCAGTGGCGGGTCACCAGTGTAACTCACTGGTGGGGTCACTATTGTAAACATAGTTGGAGGTAACCAGAATAAACATAGCACAAGTGTGCTGGGATCACAATTGTAAAAGCCGCAAGGCAAAAGATTTGATTCTTTTGAGAAGTCGTGCATTATTTTTAGTTTTAAACACAAGCATGTTAATGATAAGTAAGTTTATTTAGGTACAGGTCCACATCAGTACAATTGTCATATATGTGTGTAAATTACTTAGGATAATAAAAAAGAAGAAGTCAAAAGCGACTCATTTCCACTGGGGTTTTGGTAATAGTATCGTATTACTTAAAGCCTAGCTATAAGTTACCGTATAAATCAATTACGATTATCTTGGACACAATTATTGCATGTGCAAACTTATTTTTTCCGAGATGTTAACAAAAATATTAATTTTTGGGAAGTGCACGGGACATCAGAGTAAACCAACAGTTATCTTGATTCTCCTGGCCAATGACAGCGAGCATAAACAAAAACAAATGTAAATAATTACGTGCGCCCCACATCACCCATTAAGTTACATTACATGTGTATTTTAGGATTGGGTTTGAATGTTACATTTACACAAAGATGTCCCTGATAAAGCCAGCTTAATTGCGGACAATGTTAGGGTTAAATTGTCTAACTTGCACAAGGGCCAGATCTCCGTATTTACTTAACTGTTAAGTCACCATTATAATGTATTGGGAGGTCACCATTGTAAACTTTCACGGAGTCACCACAGTACTGGGGATAGTACTAAGACACTGATGTTAGGGGTCATCATTGTAAACATTGGTGTTTGAAGTCACTACTGTAAGCATTGATATTAAAGGTACTAAAGTCACAATTGTAATATTGTACTATGGAATTACCATTGTAAACACTGGAATTATGGACTCGACTGTAAAGCGATATTACGGAGCTACCATTGTAAACATAGGTACCATGGAGTCACCACTGTAAACACTGGCACTATGAAGTCACCATTGTAAATATTGGTATTATGGAGGCACCACTGTAAACATTGGTGCTACTGAATTGCCACTGTAAACACATGTATTATGAAGTCACACTGTAGTATAGGGGTCACATTGTAAACACATCAGGGGGTCACATTGTAAACACATCAGGGGGGTCACATTGTAAACAGGTCAGGGGGTCACATTATAAACAGGTCAGGGGGGTTACATTGTAAACAGGTCAGGGGGGTTACATTGTAAACATGCCAGAGGTTCACATTGTAATCATGTCAGGGGGTCACATTGTAAACAGGTCAGGGGGGTCACACTGTAAACATGTCAGAGGTTCACATTGTAAACACATCAGGGGTCACATTGTAAACACATCAGGGGTCACATTGTAAACACGTCAGGGGTCATATTGTAAACGTCAGGGGTCACATTGTAAACACGTCAGGGGTCACATTGTAAACACGTCAGGGGTCACATTGTAAACACGTCAGGGGTCACATTGTAAATACATCAGGGGTCACATTGTAAACGTCAGGGGTCACACTGTAAATACGTCAGGGGTCACATTGTAAAGTGGTTATGAAACCACTATCGTAGTACTAGGGAATCACGTTAAGTGGTCACAATGCACATACATATTAATATCAGGTGGTCACCACTGTAAACAGGTGTTTGGGTTACCATTGTAAATATCAGTTTTTGTCACCACTTTACACATGTTTTTGTCATCACTAAGCATCAGTTTTTGTCACATAAGAAAGGAACACTGCAGCAGGCCTACTGGCCCATGTGAGACAGGTCCAAGTCTCCCACCATCTCAAGCCAATGACCCAACCTAGTCAGGTCAGATCACATCCACTTAAGGATTATAATCAAAGAAAGTGCTAAACCAACAAGGGTCATGACTTAAGAAGCACATCAGACCTATTAGCACAAGCTAGTCAGGTCCAACTCGCACCTTTCCACATCAGTTTTGGTCAACTGTGAAAAATATTTTTGTCACCATTGTAAACCACCTGTCACCACTGTAAATATCAGTGTTATGGTCACCACTGTAGACATCAGTTTTTGGGGGGTCACCAGTGTAACAGTGTTATGGGGTCCCCATTGTAAATTATAACCATAGTAAACATTAGTTTTGTCACCATAGTAACCAGTTTCGTCACCAATGTAAACATCAGTTTTGTCACCACTGTAAACATCAGTTTTGTCACCATTGTAAACATCAGTTTTGTCACCATTGTAAACATCAATTTTGTCACCATTGTAAACATCAGTTTTGTCACCATTGTAAACATCAATTTTGTCACCATTGTAAACATCAATTTTGTCACCATTGTAAACATCAGTTTTGTCACCACTGTAAACAAGCTTTGTCACCAGTGTAAACATCAGTTTTGTCACCACTGTAAACATCAATTTTGTCACCACTGTAAACATCAGTTTTGTCACCATTGTAAACATCAGTTTTGTCACCATTGTAAACATCAATTTTGTCACCATTGTAAACATCAATTTTGTCACCATTGTAAACATCAATTTTGTCACCATTGTAAACATCAGTTTTGTCACCATTGTAAACAAGTTTTGTCACAATTGTAAACAAGTTTTGTCACCAGTGTAAACATCAGTTTTGTCACCATTGTAAACATCAGTTTTGTCACCATTGTAAACAAGTTTTGTCACCAGTGTAAACATCAGTTTTGTCACCATTGTAAACATCAATTTTGCCAGCATTGTAAACATCAATTTTGTCACCATTGTAAACATCAATTTTGTCACCATTGTAAACATCAATTTTGTCACCATTGTAAACAAGTTTTGTCACCATTGTAAACATCAATTTTGTCACCATTGTAAACATCAATTTTGTCACCATTGTAAACATCAGTTTTGTCACCATTGTAAACAAGTTTTGTCACCAGTGTAAACATCAGTTTTGTCAATTGTAAACATAATTTTTGTCACCATTGTAAACATCAGTTTTGTCACCATTGTAAACATCAGTTTTGTCACCATTGTAAACAAGTTTTGTCACAATTGTAAACATCAATTTTGTCACCATTGTAAACATCAGTTTTGTCACCATTGTAAACATCAGTTTTGTCACCATTGTAAACAAGTTTTGTCACCATTGTAAACATCAATTTTGTCACCATTGTAAACATCAATTTTGTCACCATTGTAAACATCAGTTTTGTCACCATTGTAAACAAGTTTTGTCACCAGTGTAAACATCAGTTTTGTCAATTGTAAACATCATTTTTGTCACCATTGTAAACATCAGTTTTGTCACCATTGTAAACATCAGTTTTGTCACCATTGTAAACAAGTTTTGTCACCAGTGTAAACATCAATTTTGTCACCATTGTAAACATCAGTTTTGTCACCATTGTAAACATCAATTTTGTCACCATTGTAAACATCAATTTTGTCACCATTGTAAACATCAGTTTTGTCACCATTGTAAACAAGTTTTGTCACCAGTGTAAACATCAGTTGTCACCATTGTAAACAAGTTTTGTCACCAGTGTAAACATCAGTTTTGTCACCATTGTAAACAAGTTTTGTCACCATTGTAAACATCAATTTTGTCACCATTGTAAACATCAGTTATGAGGTCACTATAGTAAGAAGTACTGGGGTATATGGGGGTCACTAACAAACATCACAGTAGTGGGGTATATGGGGGTCACTAACAAACATCACAGTAGTGGGGTATATGGGGGTCACTAACAAACATCACAGTAGTGGGGTATATAGGGGTCACTAACAAACATCACAGTAGTGGGGTATATGGGGGTCACTAACAAACATCACATTAGTGGGGTATATGGGGGTCACTAACAAACATCACAGTAGTGGGGTATATGGGGGTCACTAACAAACATCACAGTAGTGGGGTATATGGGGGTCACTAACAAACATCACAGTAGTGGGGTATATGGGGGTCACTAACATCACAGTAGTGGGGTATATGGGGGTCACTAACATCACAGTAGTGGGGTATATGGGGGTCACTAACATCACAGTAGTGGGGTATATGGGGGTCACTAACAAACATCACAGTAGTGGGGTATATGGGGGTCACTAACATCACAGTAGTGGGGTATATGGGGGTCACTAACAAACATCACAGTAGTGGGGTATATGGGGGTCACTAACAAACATCACAGTAGTGGGGTATATGGGGGTCACTAACAAACATCACAGTAGTGGGGTATATGGGGGTCACTAACAAACATCACAGTAGTGGGGTATATGGGGGTCACTAACAAACATCACAGTAGTGGGGTATATGGGGGTCACTAACAAACATCACAAGAGTAATAAAGGAGAGAAGATAAGAGAGAGCGACGCACGTCCTCCCCCCACCACAGCTGGAACCCAACTGAAAATGACTCTGTTCCAGCATTTCCTTTGTTTTCCCAGACTATTTCTCCCACCAAAATATCCACCTACACCCACCATACCCCCTAAAAAACCAACCAATTACCAGGAAAATTAAATCCCAAAGCCATCTATCCCCCAAAAAAGAAAGAAACAACCCCTCGTTGTAATTTTTAGTAGTTTTTAAAGTTTTCAAAAGAGTTATGGACAAGGAAGCTTTAGATGGTAGCCATATTGTGTCGATAGTGTCAATAAAAATAAAAGTGAATTTCTTGAATTTTAGTGTGTATGTAGTGGGGCTTCTGGCCTACAAGTATGAACAAAACCTCCAGTAGACGCTCCTCCTAGCAATGGCAGCATCTAGAAAATTACAAGGTAGGGGGAAAGTGGTTTAATTTGTGGTTTTGTTGGAGGAGGTAGGAAAGGAAAGGCTGTTTACAAGTGTAAACATGAGTTTGTTGGGGATTTTGTGGGTTTATTACCCCTGGGGAGGGTTGTTTGTTGGGGGTTGTTGGTGGGGGAGGAGGTGTGGGGGAGGGGGGTGTTGGTGGGAGGTGAGGGATAAAGGTTGTGTTGGTGTTGGAGGAAGTGACGGTGGTGAGAGTTTACTTTCCTCTCACTCTCCAACACTACTCTCCAACACTGGTGTAGTCACTCCTCCAACACTTGTATTCACTCCTCCAATACTGGTGTATTCACTCCTCCAACACTGGTGTATTCACTCCAAACTGGTGTAGTCACTCCTCCAACACTTGTATTCACTCCTCCAATACTGGTGTAGTCACTCCTCCAACACTGGTGTATTCACTCCTCCAATACTGGCATATTCACTCCTCCAACACTGATATATTCACTCCTCCAACACTGGTATATTCACTCCTCCAACACTGGTGTATTCACTCCTCCAACACTGGTATATTCACTCCTCCAATACTGGCATATTCACTCCTCCAACACTGGTATATTCACTCCTCCAACACTTGCATATTCACTCCTCCAACACTGGCATATTCACTCCTCCAACACTGGCATATTCACTCCTCCAACACTAGTATATTCATTCCTCCAACACTGGCATATTCACTCCTCCAACACTGGTATATTCACTCCTCCAACACTGGTATATTCACTCCTCCAACACTGGTATATTCACTCCTCCAACACTGGTATATTCACTCCTCCAACACTGGTATATTCACTCCTCCAACACTGGTATATTCACTCCTCCAACACTGGTGTATTCACTCCTCCAACACTGGTGTATTCACTCCTCCAACACTGGTGTATTCACTCCTCCATGTGTATTCACTCTTCCAACATTGGTGTATTCACTCCAACACTGGTATATTCACTCCTCCAACACTGGTATATTCACTCCTCCAACACTGGTATATTCACTCCTCCAACACTGGTATATTCACTCCTCCAACACTGGTATATTCACTCCTCCAACACTGGCATATTCACTCCTCCAACACTGGCATATTCACTCCTCCAACACTGGTGTATTCACTCCTCCAACACTGGTATATTCACTCCTCCAACACTGGTATATTCACTCCTCCAACACTGGTATATTCACTCCTCCAACACTGGTATATTCACTCCTCCAACACTGGTATATTCACTCCTCCAACACTGGTATATTCACTCCTCCAACACTGGTATATTCACTCCTCCAACACTAGTATATTCACTCCTCCAACACTGGCATATTCACTCCTCCAGCACTGGTATATTCACTCCTCCAACACTGGTATATTCACTCCTCCAACACTGGTATAATCACTCCTCCAACACTGGTATATTCACTCCTCCAACACTGGTATATTCACCTGAGTGGGGATAAAACATCATAAATAAAGACACTTGTATCAGCTGACTTGTGTTGACCTCAGCCATAACAATAATTGTTAATATTTTAATATATTTTACCCCTTAAGGGGGCTTCCTTGATGCTGGTGACGGGCTCTTGATCTGGTGAATTGGATCTGTGTTCCAGTTCCCTGAATTCCCCCTAAATACCTTCCATCCCCCCCCACAGGCGCTGTATACTCCTACGTGTTTAGCGCTCCCCATGATTATAATAATTTACTATATTTCTTCCTGTGAGATAAAAGTAACAAATGTCAAGTAATTTCCATTTTTTTCTTATTTAGAGCACAGAAACTTATATATAACAAACTATTAAGTCATGGACCCTAATGGAAATAATTCACTTTTTTTTGGATTATCTTGGAGGGTTATTTACATTATGTATTATAATTTTACTTGTGTGTACCTAAATAAAGTTATTAACTCCAAATTAACATGCATAATTGTTTGTAAATGCTTGATTATCTTGATTATTAATGGTCTAAGAAAATGGCACAGTGGAAAGTGCAAATTTTTACCTTATGTTGGCTTATTTTTATTGGTTTTCGGGATCAAATTATTAATACATATTACCCCTCAAGGTTCCTTGATGCTGGTGAGGGGCTCTTGATCTAGGGAATTGGATATGTGCTGCAGTTCCCTGAATTAAACCTGAATACCTTCATAAGGGTTTAGCGCTTCCAAATTGATAATAATAATAATATAAATATTACATGTAAGGTTTAGTTAGGTTAAGTTTTCTGGGTTTCAATGCAGCGTTGTATGACCTCTGGGTTTAGTGCTTAGTTATGATTGGATTAAAATAATTTTAGGTTTCAATATAGTCTAGTGTTATGACTGAACCATCATGACAGTTTCTTATTGTTCAAGATATTTAAGAAAAGTGTTTCAGCGAGGACGAACTCGACTTATTGGAAAAATTGATCACACTTGTAACTTAACCCGTAAACAGTCCAAACGTATATATACGTTTTTTCAACATTTGAAAGTATGTAAAAAAAGTAGATCTTCTTTTTGTTTTGTTTTTTACATTTGAAAATGTGGTCTAGTGGCTAGCGCGACGGGCTGGAGTTTTGAGACTCTATGACCGCGGGTTCAATCCCGGCCGGGGGTATGGTTTGTTTGTGTAAAAAAAACTTTTGTCTACGTACTTTGTTTTTTTTTTTATATTTGAAAATATGTAAAAAAAAACGTAGATCTAATTTTGTAGCACTACACATGTGAACGTAGATCTGCTTGGACCGTTTATGGGTTAAAGTGCTCCCGATCTTTGCTTATGTTGAAAAACTGACAGAAAAAGAGAATGTGAATCTTACTAAGAAAAAGCCTGATTTTTTTTTTTTTTGGTGAAAAACTGGTGATAAGTTACTGTAAAACTGCTTGTTGAATATGTAAGGTATGGGAAACTCTCCCTTAAAGTGACTCCGAAAATACGAGAAATAACCCTGAGTCGATAGATTTGGAAACATTGGACAAAGTCCTTATTTTCGTAGAATTGTCCATTGTTACAATTATGACAAAATGAACTTTTCTGTATTCAGCACAATTACCATTACTTGGTACCTGCACCCCTCAGGTACCCACTTATATGGAGGGTTAACTGTATTATTGTATAAGATGGAAATCTGATAATATGACTGAGAGGCAAAAGAGGAAAATTAGAAGCTAATATACCAGTCAGAGATTACTATGAAGATGTTTACATTTTGTGAAAGCAGTTCGTAACACCTTTAGTGGTACAAGTGATTTACAGTGGTTCTTCAACATAATGTTAAATACCTTGAACAATTAAAATGGATTTATGACTATTGAAGATAAACACAGTTTTCACGAAAATTTTGAAATACTGAGCATGATACACTGTAGTAATATGGTACAGTCTGATACAATTTCTGTACTATGAAAAGAAATATGTATTGAAGTGATAACTGAGCCAGTGATGTGACTTGTGATGACTGTGAGCCAGAGTGAAGTGACTTGTGATGACTGTGAGCCAGAGTGAAGTGACTTGTGATGACTGTGAGCCAGAGTGAAGTGACTTACATTAGTGTTAAGACTTGGAATTATAATTTACATAATCAGGCAGTGCTGTCATTCAGTAAACAAGATTTTTCATGTGAAAAGTGTGTTTATACAAGTGCATATAATGGGATATGTTCAAGATAATGGAAAAGTCAAGTGTTAATGTAACCTAACGTGAGCTACCCAACCTGATTAGATTTTGTTCAGATTTTTAACCCAGGGGAGGGTTAGCCACCCAGGATAACCCAAGAGAGTGCATCATCAAGGACTGTCTGTCTTATTTCCATTGGGGTCCTTCAGTCTTGCTCCTCCAGGATGTGACCAACACCAGTCGGCTAACACCAAGGCACCTACCTACTTCCTAGGCGAACGGGGACCAATAGGTTTAAGGAAACATGCCCAATGTTTCTGCCTGGATGGGAATTGAGCCACGGACACTTAGTGTGTGAGGCGAGAGCATTGCCTACCAGGCCACTGGACGATCTAAACAATAGGCTAACATCCCTCGTGCTACCTAGGGTGCAAAACTTAAGGTGATCAGCATATATTTATGGGAGATTTATTTATCAAGGTCATGATCACTGGTATCAGCTTAAAAAAAGTATTTGTCACTTCTCTTTTTGTACTCATTGAATCATTATTGTACTTTTCAAGGGGAAACACAAGCATTTTGCCCATAAAAAATTGCTGGTCTCCACAGAGAGAGAGAGAGAGAGAGAGAGAGAGAGAGACAGAGACAGAGAGGGTGAGAACAAATGAACTAACAAACAAACTAACAATCAAACAATTGAACTAACAATCAAACAGTTGAACTAGCAAACAAATGAACTAATTTGACAGTATTGGTACTGGCCAAAAATTTAGTATCAGTATTGGTATCAGCAAAAAATTTGATATCTTCCTATCTCTAATACCTACATCTTCATGCTTGAACACCCCTACTTTACTCCTTTGATGTTGTTGGTGAGAAAATAGCATACTCCAGCTAAAGTTCCCCAAGGAATGCATTTTCCACTAGACCTCCTTCAAACCCCCTGCAGGAATCTGTGTTAATAGGTTTTACCTCATAATGATGAGTTCAGTAATGAAGCTTTTATACCTCTTGAATTTAAATCAGCATTTTCAAAATATCTATCAGATGGGCCAAGTCTCATATTCTTATGCTAAAACAGTAATATATACACAATATAAGCACATATTCAATCAGATCTAGTCGTAGTGTTCTATCCCTTCAGTGAAAAACTGTAATAGTCATCTTTTGTTGAGTAAGGAGAGTGTGTTGGAGGTGTGACGCATCCCGTTACCAACCTATTGCACTTCTTTTTTTTTTTTTTAATACTCCAGCCGTCTCTCACTGAGGTAGGGTGTCCCGACGAAGAAGAATACCCTTTCACTGTCACTCATTCAATCACTGTCTTGCCAGAAGGGCCCCAACATCACAGTTCAGATGACCCTTTAAACCACAAAATTCCCATCTC